CGCCATTCCTTGAAGGACGCCACTACCGCCAAGAGTTCTTTATCGAAGATCTCATAGTTGCGCTCTGCTTGAATCAAGGATCGTGATAAGTAAGCAATGGGGTGAAGTTCGCCATCGTCATTAGATACTTGTGAGAGAACTGCTCCTAATGCGTAATCCGAGCAGTCGCATTCCAATACAAATGGTTTGTATGGGTCTGCTATTTTGAGTACCGGTGCCGTGGTGAAGGCCGTCTTGAGTGCTTCAAACGCTTGATTTCGTTCCTCATTCCATGTAAATTCAACATCTTTCTTGGACAATTCATTCAATGGTCGTGCAACTTTGGAAAATTGATTTATAAATCTTCTGTAAAAATTGGCGAATCCTAAAAAGGTCTGAGTGTCGGATAGGTTCTTTGGAACTGGCCAATCCTTGACCGCTTTCACCTTGCTTGCATCCATTTTAATCTGATTTTTTGAAATGATTAAACCTAAGTAAGAGATTTCTTTCTTTGAGAACTTGCACTTTTCGGGTTTAAGCCAAACATTTTGAGCCTTCAGGATGTTCAATACTTCTTTGACCACTGTCTTATGATCTTCTCCAGGGCCAGTATAAATGAGTATATCATCCTGATATGCCGCAACATTGCGTCCTATGTGATTCTTCAGTATATCTTGTATAAAAAATTGAAAGAAGCCCGGAGCACCTGTTGGACCAAAAGGCATTGTAAGTGGTTCAAATTGTCCAGCCTTACAGATGAATGCTAATTTTGCTTCGTCTCCTTCTTGTACCCGAAGATTGTTATGTCCGTTCCGCATGTCCAAGCTGGTGAATTCGTCAGCATTGAGTAAGCTATCAACTAGTTCCATTGTTAAGGGAAGAGGGTATTTGTTCTTAACAGTTACAGCATTCAGCTTTCTATAATCAAAGCAAGGTCTTAGATTGCCGTCCTTTTTTCCGGTGAATAGAACTGGAGCCGCCCAAGGAGATGTAGTGCGTCTTATAGTGCCATTTGCCAAACCCTTAGTTATCATTTCATTTAAGACTTCACTTTCTTTTGGCGATAGGGGAATCACTCGTCCGGCCTGAGGAGTTGCTCCTGGAACAAGGTCTACCCGGAAGTCGTATGGCCTGTGAGGAGGTAACACATCTGAATTTGCCTTCTCGAACATATGTAAATACTCATGATAGCATTCAGGCACAAGTTCCTTTGCTGATTTCGGCGGAGTCTCCTTAGCTTTATCCGCGGCGATCTTTGCTGAGAGATTCCACGAAGTCTTGAGTGCATGTATCATTGTTGGGCTTGGTTGCTGGGATTGTCGAATTTGATCCAGAATGATGTTCGATTGTGGTGAGCTCCCGCGCAGTTTCTTGAAGTTCATCTGTAATATGGAGTGAGAATGCTTGTTCACTTGTTCTTTACGTCTGTTGGAAATTAAAGGTGTACACGTACTCTTCGGGGGTTTTAGAAAGCCGTTGCTCGACTTAACCCCCTCGTCACTTTGCCTAGTATCCCTCTCAGGCTCCACTCCAGGTTGGGTCTTCGAGGTGGTTGTCGGCTTGGACGAAACTGTGGTTATCACAGCTGCAGGTTCTTCTTTCCTTATCGACTCGATTTCTGGTAAATTTTCTAGAAGGTGTGCTGGCTTGCCAGCTGCTTCTTCAATCTTGGATGATAAAGTCAAATCGAACTCACATTGCGGGGGTGTGAATGAGCACGTAGACTCCACCCCCTCGTTGAAATTCCTAGCGTGCCTCTTTGGCAGTTCCTCAGGACTCCTCGAGGCTTGTTTCGGTTTCAACGACACTGCATCGGCAGCCGCAATGGTAAGTTCTTCATTCTTGAATTTGCTGTTCTTGCAATCAATCAATTGATAGTTCTTCTTGATCCATGGCATGCCTAAAATAATGTCATACTTGTCTCTTAGGTCGGTTACAATAAAGGTAGTTGGTGGTGTATCACAGGAGTTCACATGAAAGTCACCAGTGTGCGTGATTTTGGATTCATGTCCACTGAAGCCCGTAACACTTCTGACTTGGGTTAAAGGCTCGGTTTGAAGTTGATTTTTTACTACGAAGGTCTTACTGATAGCTTCATGAGTAGCTCCGCTGTCGATCAGGGCTCTCGCGTTTATGGTTGTGGCACTTTTAACATCGAAAATGGTAATGCTTTCAATAATTCTTGTATCTTTTATTTCAAGTGCATTAATTATACTATTTTCTGATGATAAATCATTACCGCTCGGGGGAGGCACAACCTTCACTCCCGAGCATCTCCATTTTTTGATTCTTCAGACCTTCCTTCACTCTTCAACTCATCCTTTACACTATCAACCTCAGCAAACTTTGATCTAAATCCTCCTCTACCTCTTCCTCGCCAACCTCCCCTATTACTTTGTCTTCTTTTATCAGGACAATCTCCAATGTAATGATCAACTTTACCACAATGATAACAAGCTCCAATTGCACCTCTTCGCTTATACTCCTCACTCGTGATGTTCAACCTATAAGCTGAGCAGTCCATCGCATCGGGGTCAAGAGAAGTCGATGATGTTATAGGAATCGATGCAGAGGTTTGAGTCTGGTGAGTCAATTCTGAGTTACGTTCGTTAACTTCATTATCGATCTTGATTGCTAATTTAGCCATCTCCTCTACTTCCTCAAAAACATCTCTAACCATATGAACCCTAATTTCTCCTTTTAACCCCTGCTTGAATTGAGAGATGAGTACAGTATCGGGCCATTTAACAATTAGAGACAACTCGGAGAACTTTATCCAGTAATCGGTAACCGATCGAGTTTGACGTAACGCTCGTATCTCTCTCTCGGCCTTGGTGATTCTTTCTGTATCAAAGAATGTGGCTTTGAAGGATTCTATGAACTTCTTCCAAGTTACCAGTCGCATTCTTTCCGAGTCCAGAAGTTGATCAGTTAAAGATTGACCCCATAGACTAGCCTTCCCATCCATGTAAGATAATGCAAAAGCAACTTGAGCTTGCTCATTTATGAAACTTGAGGCATTCATCTGCATATATAAGCTTATCTGGTTCACAAATACTTCGGCCTTTTGGCCTTTTGCTCCATCAAACTTGTTGGGTGTCGCGATTTTGGGAGGTTTGACTTGGGATTGTAGTTGATTCGGGTTTGGAGTTGGAGCGGTTGTAGGTTGTAATGGTGCATTGGAATTATTCTTTTCAACACTTTCTTTCAACTCAAACCATCTTCTTTCTGCTTCTTGTCTTAACCTGCTTTCTTCTTCTAATTTCACATTCATCTCGTCCATTCTTTTCATCAATTCAGCTACATTAACCTCCATTATAGTATCTTCTACGTCTTCAAACCTTTCACTAGGTCCTGAACTACTAGGACTAACGGGTAAACCGAATTCCGGCGTGTTGGGTGGTTAATCGAGGGGATTCGAGGGAATAAGGTTTGTGTATCGATTCAAAGTTTGATGCAGGCTCGCTGTATGATGCGGGGAGATCTCGAATCTGAACTTGTCACTACTTTAATTAACTTTGATCTACTGTTTTCTTTTTTGAAACCTTCTTTTTCTTTCTTTTAAGCTTTAAATCTTCTTATTCTTCGTGTTTCTTTCTTTTTTTTTTTTCTTCTTCTTGTCTTTAAACTTTGCAACTTTAAATTTCTTCTTTCTTCGTTTTCTTTCTTCTCTTGGATCCTGAGTGTTTCTAAGACTTAGCAATATGATAGGACTTGGCTTGATGGGACAAGATGCAAGAGATAGAAAGGGCCTTCAGGTATTGTAGTTAGATTGCTAAGTAAGGAAAAGAGTCCCTGCTCTACGCATCACAAGAAGTCTAGATGGTACAGTATAAGCATACAACAGGTAAGCCTTATACAAGTAAGGTCATAACAATATGTAGTGAAAATAGGAGCTTGAGAGGTGATGCTATGGTATTGCAATAATGAGAAAACCATTGCAAGATAGCTATGAAACACAAAATGACTATCATTTTGCATCATTGATTGGCAATTTTTAATTTTGTCACACCAGGAAAAATGATGAAGACATATGAAAACCTCAAATTGCTGATGAGACTGAAGAAGGAAAACTGGTCAGGAACTGTTAGGGTTAGGAGTTAGGGGTTAGGCTTAGGCTTAGGGGTTAGGCTTAGGGCAGGATATACTATAATTTACACAATGTTCACCATGCAGTCATTCAGGGTGTGTCACAAAATGCACAAATGAGATGTGTCAAAGTTCAGGTGCACCTGGGAGCGCACCAAATCCTCAAAATATCTATAGAGACACCCCACAGTTGTTCTTCAGGTTGTGACAAAAAATGTCAGCGCGGCGCCCGCCGCCCAATTGTGCTACTCATTCTTATATTTCAAATGAACGCACTCAAAACAAGTGAAAGATTGAAAGACATAAATGATTTCTACAATCTGAAACACTGCCCACATTAAAGAAATTCCCAGATGGGTGCCATTCTTATTCCGGTGGAATGCGACGACCCCGGTTAA